GGTTGGGAAAGTTCAACCGTAAATAGAAAAATACATCGTAAACCTGCAGGAAAAATATGAAATCGCGAAACCGTTGCAACAAAAATGCACCTTCCCTTCTTAATTTGCTTTTGCCTTTGGACCCTTCTTCTTTGAAGATGAGGAGGATGATCTCCTGGGCATTGAGTTCTTCATGCCAATGAAAAACAATAGTGCACCTAGCAACGCCAAGTTCTGTTCAAACGAGTGAAGAGACGTACTTTTTATCAATACATTGCAGATACGAATACCAGATGAACGTAAAGTTTGAAGAGCAAACCAATGGCTAACCTGAGAAAATTTGAAAAAGAGTTGAACGAATTCCTTCTTGTCAACATCATAGTTGTAGAAGTCGTACAAAACTGGGGAAGCAACGGCCTGATGTATCAGCTGTGTAAACAAACAAAGATAAGGATAAGTGAGGTATGAGACAAAAAGGTTCAAACAAAATAGTTTCCCAAAAAAAAACCCCACGAAAGCTACTATACAATGTAAGTCCAACAAGAAAATGACGCATAGTAAGATACAAACCAGAAGAAGAGCTCCAAGAGTGCTGCCGAAGACGAATAAAAGGCTTCCAAGACCCTTCAAAACTATGGCCCCCAAAATAAGATGTTTCATCTGTAAATAACATATCATGTTAAGTTAGGTACAACTAAGAAAGAAGGTCAAATAAGTTGAGCCAAAGTGATACCTCTACATGGGGTAATTCAAATCCGATGTGTGTTGCCACATGCTTTGACAAAACATTGAACTTTGGTGCTAAAGCCTTTGCTGCTGGCCCGCCATCAGACCCAAATTCACTGAACCTATAACCAGAGCAGTTGATGAATAATGATCAGTTTACGAATAAAATATAAGGGCAAAGAAATTATAAAATAATTTAGAAAGTTCCCCTACTCCTAGCATTATGTACGCGGACTACATTATGTACGCAGACTACATCCCAATGTTGCAGTCCAAGACAGTCAATAGTTTAACTTTTCATAAATTCTTCAGCCCAAAACATTCTAATGTAATATCAATCAATGAACTAATCATCGAAGCTCAGTAGATAGAAGTGCCACGCAGTTGGCACTCTGGTACATGTTTTATGTTTAACACCATTTCAGTTGTGTTATTGACCTCTAACATATTCCTTTTTGCTTCATCTATAGCCATTTGGTAGTACAGGACTCAAGAAAGAGAGTCAAGGAAGTAGGCTGTATTTTCTATATCGGGCCACACAAACCAAAGAGGAAAATGCAAGTTATTGACTTTTTAAAGGCTTGAGGAAGGTCAGATATATGCACATGAAATGGAGCAAAAGAAACATTATGCAAGTCATCATTATGTCCTTCAGAATTAGCTTCCATACTAACAAGTATTATATAAAAGGGTATACTTGTTCAATCAATTTGAAAATGAGTATTGGCAAGTATTCCATAACAGACTCAGTAGAGAGAGTGGTAATAGTTTACACCATAGAACACACATACTGTACCATTGACAGCCTTAACACCAATACCAAATTCAAGAATCTAGATTGGGCCTCACATTTAAACTTCGTAATGTAATTTCCTCTAGCAATATAAAACTCCAATAACAGATCTACTTTACCGGGTAGTGTTAACAACACATCAAGTGCCAGCTTTATAAGCATGCCACAAGTACAAAGAACACAAACCTTGACTCAAGCTATGTAATCTTTGCACCATATATCCAGTCATATAGTTGTAAATCTACATCTTGAATGGATCAACACACAAGAGCAAAAAAACACAATTCCAACCAAAAAGTTCCAACTTCAACATCAAAGTCAAGAAAATCAACTTCAAAAACATTGAGAGATCTCCAATCACAACCAATTGAGCTGATTCCAAATCATTACACTAATTCATCCAAAACTTAGTCATCCAACTCTGTTAACAAATCAACTCAAACCAAGTACAAACACGAGAAGGATCTACTCCCCAATGGCGGAGTATTCAAGGCATAGTAGTAACAACTAACAACCTAAAGATCCCAGATTTGAATCTCAATTACAACACTCCTTTACTCAATATAAGCTATAAGCACACAAACTAACAAAGACACCATGCTAAAAAATTGAACTTTAAGCTTAAACTCAACTCCAAAAGCTAACTTACCACGAAACAACAATAATATTCCAACACCTCACCAAAACAAATAAGCGGATCTGCATGCTGGCCAGTAGAAACTAACCAAAAGAATTGCAAAGTGCAACTCATACTGTCATCAATTACATAATATGCATAAGGTCAACGTGTACAGTCAATTACATTAAAATGTTGGATCTATCTCCTAAAGCAAAGAACAAAACCCTAGCTTTCCTCACTATACACATCCTACCACTCCGGCGAAAAATTACACTATTTGTACAAAACTAAATTTATTAGTTATACATAAATAGTAAATATTGAACCCCTTTGGGTTCTTCAACTTATTCGTGTGTTTACTTTTTCATATTTTGAAAAAAAAAACTAAAAACAGAGCAGATCTGAATATGAAAAATGAAGAACTTACTCTTGATAAGCGGAGAGAACAAAGACGGATACGAAGAGAAGTCTTCCAACGAATGACATGGTCGCCATTACAATGCAAATGGGGATTCAAATTTCTCTCTATAAAAGAGAAAACAGAGATGAATTCAAACAGAGAGAAAAAACAGGGATCTTGTTGGTCTTTGTTTTCCTTTAATTTATAGGTAGTAGTAATACTTGTTAGAGTAAAAAAAATTGTTCTTTGGTCCCCTTAGTATCGGGGAATTCAAACTTTAGTATTTGAAGTCACTTTTTTAATTTTATTTGTTATGTTTGATTTTGATATTTATTTACATTATATTTGTATTCACGTTAAAAAGTAAGAATATTAATAACTAAAATATGCACAATAGTTATGAATTTTCATACAATAATATATTTCTTTTAAGAAATATAGTTGAAGAAGTTTGGGATGGAGAATTAAGAGATTTTATTATTATTCTTAGAAATACACAAATGAATCGATTGAGTTTTATATTTGAAGAAGAAAAAATAATATTATCGTGAGGCTTTTAAGAAATACTTTGAACCTAATAAGGGCCATGAGTTCATCCAAACTTTTTTCAATTAAAAATTATTAAAATTATTTCTAGAGTACGAATAATATAACGAAATGTGATTCTATCACTATAGAAGATATTATATTTGTTTTTATTTATCATAAGATATTTAATATCAATATTAAAATCTCATTAATTCAAATTTACCTCAAAAAGCTCATTGTAAGTTACAAACTTGCAATTTAATTACTTAAAATTTTTTTAAAATGATATTTTTCTTCGTATCAAACACAAATAACAACTCTTCTCAAATATGTCCACTTACCTTTTTTTCCTTCTCGACGGCTTATTTATATTTGTAAAATTTAAATTTCCTCCATACCTACTATAAATTTCTCTATGCAAATGGCAAACGCTCGGGAGTAAGATAAAAATAGTGTACTCGCTTTTTTGTTTGGCCATCTTTGAAATGTACGGTTGATTGAAGGAGACACGTTTTAGAACCAATAGCATTGAGAAACGTGGCAGCTTGAGTAAGCGAGTAGTTTCATTCTTTAAGTAGGTGAGTATGGAAGAATTATTTTTGTGGTCTTCTCAAATATGTCCCTTGGTTTTAAGAGTAGTTTCTTGTTGAACTCCTTTATGACTTTTGTTCCTTTCATTTTGGTCCCACACTCAAAAAATAGTATTCCCTCTAATCATATTCAATTGTAATATCTATAGCGGTGTTAAGTTATATTATAAAAGTTTGGGAGAGAATGGTGAAGTAGAAAGTGAGAAATAGTGTGTTTATTTTAGAGAATTAATTTAGATTTATGTTAGGGTGATTTATGGTAGAAGTCATTCATTTTGTGAAGAAACGATAGAATTGTATTGAAAAAGAAAGAGGAATATATATATGGTGTTCATTGACCTTGAGAAGACTTATGATAAAGTTCAGAGGGAAGTTTGGTAGCGATGCATGAGGCAAGAGGTATATCAATGACCTACATTAGAGCGATAAAGGACATGTACGAAAAGGCTAAAATGTGGATAAGACAAGGGGAGGAGATTCTAGAGCACCTTCATGGGGAGATCAGCTTACACCAAGGGTCGAATCTTGGTGTGTTTCTGTTTGTCTTTGCGAAGAATGCTTTAACGCTTGACATTCAAGATAAAATGCCGTGATATATGTTATTTGTGGATGACATGATGAGACGCGCAAGAAAATTGGTGCTAAGTAGGCGTAGAGAAAAACTTTAGATGCTAAAAGGTTTATGTTGAGCCGAATCAAGATAGTATATGTTTGGTAAAAATTAAATAATACGATGCATGAGATATGCTTGGAAGTGAGGTTTGACACACAAATATCTTCAAGAGAGATAAATTTAAGTATTTTGGGTCTAAAATTCAGAGGAATGACGATATAACCTTAGACACGAAGATGCGAGGGTTAATAGATAATATAATGTTGTCTTGCTTATGGTGGTTGATGTTTGTGATGGAACTAGTTGTATTATTGTAACTTTTTTTATCATTATTATTTTTTAACTTTATACTAATCTACCCTAGCATGTTGTTACGAAGTTTCGATTATCAAATGTTTTATTGTTGTTTTGGCTATTCTTTTGTAGACTTTGCATTGTTTTCTTATTATTTGTTATATTCTCTTCATTATCTCTTTCATCTTCATAGCGAAATTTATTGCACTTGAGCTCAGGATCTTTCATAATAGTCTCTCTGCCTCCTTCGTGAAATTTCATCGAGTATATTATTATTGTTTTCAAAATTCAATAAAATTATCAACTTTTATTTTTAGTTTCACTTTTTTTTAAAATAAAATGTTTAACTATTTTTCATTTTTAAGTGAAAAGTTTCAAAATAATCTAAAGAGTAACAATGAAAAGTAGTTTTTTCTTAAAGAAAAAATATAAATCATGAATTAACTAACGGAACCTCAACTAAGCTAATCTAAAGAGTCACGTTAATTTGTACACAAAATTGAGCAAATTCAATTTTCGGGACAATTCCAAACAGTATATAAGCTAACCCCCCTTCTTCATCAGTACCGTTTTCTGCTCCCTCAGGCCTCAGCACCAGCTCAAGCTTTTAGCCATGGTGCTCATCTTCTCCATTGCTACACACTATAATCTTCTTCTCAATCTTAACAATTTTTGTTTCTATACACAGGATTACCCTAAAACAGCAGTTCCTACTAACATCTTCACTGAACGCGGGTCCAATATCGTCGTCATCAATCCAGGTACTAAACCCTAAATTCTCCTCGATTTCCATTTTTTTTTGCTTTTTCTATTAACTAATTAAGTGAAATACTGTACTGTAATTTAGGTTCCGCAAATATTAGAATAGGATTGGCTCAACATGACACTCCATTGAATATACCTCATTGCATATCCCGTCGCACTAGTCAGTTACCGAAACGAAATGCTCAAGATCAAGTAAGGCCAATTTTTTTGAATTTTTGTAGTTAAGTTTGCAGTTTTATGTGATTTTTCGCAAATTTTAGTTTTGAAGTTCTAAGTCATCTTTAGTTTGTTGATCATATTGCAAGTGTGTATGTTTATGTATTTTGATGATATCCTTTTCTTTTTTTGGTGGATTAGATGCTGAATTCTCAGGTTACGACTGCACAGCATATGGAAAGGGAAAGAGCTTATGACATTGTAAGTATGATGAAATATGGTAAACAATGTTTAAATTATATATTTGAGCTTGAAAAAAAAAAGATGTTTAATCATATAAGCACGAATATGAAACTATATAGGTCGATGACATCAATACATTGTAATATTTTCGATGTTTCACTTTTTTTTTAATCAGGTTGCGTCATTATTGAGAATTCCATTTTTGGATGAGGAGGTAGCTAACAGTTCTTATCCACGCAAGGTACCAGGGATAATTCTCTATGCTTTTTAAAGTATAATATGAATTTTTTTTTCTTTGGTTCTGCGGGATTTTCAAGTACATGTGTGGTAAGGAGTGGTTATTGGAGCTATTGAAGCTAGATTTTATCAGGAAGATTTTAATGGAATCGAAACTAGTTGAACTACAAAGTATCTATAGCCATGCTTTCTGGAATACCTCTATCGACAATCTTTTGTGTGTATTTTGTGTTTATCTGTGCAGATGGGGCGTGTAGACGCATATCCTCCGCAAAATAACATGAAAGAGCCAGTGTTCACTTGGACTGATGTTTTTGAGAGAAATGTCCCTCATTCTTCAACAACAGGTAAGTACTGTAACATGTTCATTCTTTGAATTAAGCATTTATTCGTTCAGGTTTGGCTGTTGCATTCTCTATGCTGAAAGTTATAGGTGGTGTATAGTTTTCTTGTAAACCAGTTATATGTACAGATACACAATATTTTGTATGGAGTTTGAATACTCTTTTAGTCTACAACTCATTCTTCTTTGTCCGCAAGTGATGCCCTAGCCAGTTAGTTGGTTGGCAAGTAGCCCTATGTTCCAGCTGGCATGAAAATATTTTCTGCTATCAATGCCTAAAGCAGCCGAATGGTTCCCCATCTATAATTCTATTAGTGCTTCTGTGGATGGTCTAATTCATATTTTCTGGGAGATCTTTTAGCGATTAGATATCATCTGATATCCCGTGTCAAGCTTCTCAGATGACCAATGAGCATTATGACAAGGATATTTTGCGGCAACTCTTCCATAGTTGATGACCCGATCTTAAATTTTGGACTTGAAAATATTTTTCTGTTCTCAAAATTTTACATTAAGGACACTTTGTTCGGAGAGAATATATTTTCTGATTGGCTTAGCTTTTGTTTGATTTTCAGTAGTAGTTGGTACTAGAACATGCTTAGTTTGTTTATTTTGCTATTTACACCTTTATTTCAAGAATGAGTAAGTATGTTTTGCAATAGCAGAAGATGTACCCAACGAGGACGATACCAGCGAGTCACCCACTCTGAAGGAAAGCAAGATTAAGGTTGAACCTAATTCCAGTGAACGTAAATATAGAGAGTACATATGTGGAGAGGAAGCTTTAAGAATTTCCCCAACTGAACCATATTGCTTGCGGCGTCCTATACGCCGAGGTCATCTGAATGTATCTCAATATTATCCGACGCAGCAGGTAACATTTTGTTTCAAGATTTCTTTAGATGCATGGAAAATTTGATGTGCATCTGCTTCTTCCAGTTGTGACTCACACATTAGTAACTATACTTTTGACATCAATGTTGGATTTCTCTTTCCAATTTTTTCATTGAGCATTGGCATGATTTTCTGAAAACTTTTCTGTTGATTTTTCGAAAGGTGTATAAATGTAACTTCTTTCAGATTAACTAGAGTTACAGTGGCCATTATTTTATAATACTTGGGGAATTTTAGGTTCTCGAAGACCTGCATACTATATGGGAGTGGATTTTGGATGAGAAATTGCATATTTCTCATCGTGAGAGAAGCATGTATTCTGCAATCCTTGTTATTCCAGAGACATTTGACAATCGTGGTATATATACTCTATTTTTTCCTTCTCATTTTTTCTGTCTGAAACCAGAATCTGGTAAATTTATGTTTAGGCTAGAATCTTGTTATTTTGGTCAAATCTGCAATTTTTGAAATAAATATTATAAGGTGCATGCACCACTAGATCCTGGAATTTAGCTGCTCATGGTCTAGCTAGCTTCGCTAATTCACGTCTGCATAAGGTCTCTTATGTGTTTCTCTTAGTTGGTTTGTAAAAATGACATACTGTCATCCACGGGACACCTGTTTTAATTGAAGAAGCAATGTGAAGTTCCAGTGTTCTAGAGAAAGTAAATACTCCACTAGTTGGACTATCAAGACAGAGAGATGTGTGTGTGACAGTAGGAATCCCCAGCTGCTCCATCCTTGATGGGCAGGTTACCAACATTTGTGCTTGTGTGCTACAGTAGGTGGACTAGCTCAGGGTTGCGCAAATTGGCGCCAAACACCACTATCATTTAAAAAAAATTGTGATAGTGTGTTATCTTACATATGTGCTGTCCTGCAGACTGAAATGAGAATAATGAATTTAATTGACAATATATTGAGACGAATCCAAAGAGCTGTTCTGGTCTCGTTTCCACTGATTTTGGGAACTGGAAGGTAAGGCAAAAGAGAGCAGAAGTATAGTAAGTGGGTAAATTGAAGAGAAAAGGGAAATTAAAATTTGTAGGCCCAAAAGGAAATTATATCCCCATGTTCCCTCCTCTTCCTACTGCTAACACCAAATGATGAAAAGGAAAGATCAGTACTTTTCCTCTGCTTCCCTGATCTTGACTAGTTTTCCAAGCATTGAAGTTCTCCTTGCCTCTCCAAATGCTGAAGATAGTGATCCATCATAAAATGGTCTCTCAGAGAATTTCTCTACTCATCAATTACTTGGATTTGGAATTAGGAATATCGGAATTCAGAGCAAGAACTTTGAAATAGGGTCTTGTTGTCCATGGAGAAGCCCAACAGTTTGGTGAAGAGGAAAATTTCCCTATGGTTTCTTCAGATTGTCATTTTAATTTCTTTTGTATATACTGGAAACAACCTTTCTACCCCACAAAGGTAAGGGTAAAGTCCGCGTACATCCTAACCTACCTAAACCACACTTGTGGGATGACATTGGATATGTTGTTTTTGTTAATGTCTAAGAGATTGCTGTTAAGTGACTAATCTTCTGATTAGGAGTGGGAAACAGGCGGATTGAGTAGGATATGGACAAGTCAAAAACGAGTTAAACAAAAATGGATAAAATACCTGACCAATCATATTTAACACGAATGGAAGATAGGTTACTCACTGGATAATATGGACATCCTTATTCTTTTATCAAAAAAAATATGGACATCCTTATTGTCGATATTATCATTGTGGAATATGGTGGGTCTAAATTACCCCACCAAAGCTGATCAAAATTATCATTATCATAGTATCAAGACAATACCTACTATAACATAGAACCAAGAGAGCTCATTTTACTAGTTTTATGTACTACTCTACCACATTATTTTGTGGGGGAACCAAGAGAATATCAACTATTTCCTTTGAACAATCCAACAATGTTAATATGCTTATAGTTCAGTTATTATGTCAAACCACATTCACAAATTTCCAAAAGAAATGAATTTAGCAAGGCATTGTGCTTCCTCGCAAATAAAAGTATTTATAACCTGCTTCTTTCCTTTCTTTCTAAATTCTAGGAAATAACATAGTACTATATGACTGTAGCCTATGTTTAAAAAAAAGTATATGATGTAGCCTGTAGTTTAATCTACTTTGCCCTTTAAATTACCAAATCTTAAGTGGACAATATAGATTGACTCATATTTACCATATGATCACCCTTTCCGTCGTTGATATAGAACTTTTGTTCCTTATAGAAAATGTAACACTTCTTGCTGTTTATGCAAAGCAGAAATCAAGGAAATGCTATCTATCGTGTTGCGTGACTTACGGTTTGGTTCAGCAGTAGTCCACCAGGTGATATTATGTTGCTGAACTTTTTAGGCATTATGAAGTGATTGTATGTATGCACACAAGTTGGACCTAAGCCTTCATTCTTATTAACCTGTTCATATAATTTTCCAACTACCGACATACATGACAGCATTAACTTTGAAATATATAGATTGCTTCATTCTATTTTTTTGAAGATCTGATAATTGCTTGTCCCATGCTTTCTAATCAACAATAATACCAATAAAGCTTGTGTGTAAGGTATGTATTTGTTAAGTATGATCATAGAAGAACTTACATATTACTACCCTCATTGCAAGTTTCTTGATAGACTTGCTGCACTTTCTAAAAGGGGATCACGTTTAGTTTTCCAGGAATTTTAAGCTTACTTCTTGAAAGTTGGTTTAAGGCTATTTTGATGTAGATCAAACTTAATACATTTCATTTTCAGTTACTTAAGGAGAATAGGAAGATTTATCTTGTACACCAGTACGTTTAGCAATAACTTGCCCAACGATTGGCCCACTTTCTTTCTTATGGAGCACCTACTTCTTGATGAAATTAAAAAAGAAGGGTCAGAATCTATTAAAAACACTTATTTATTTGAAGTTGCACTCAGTGGGAGGAGGTGTGGAACGGTGAATAAATCTCTGTTCTTTTTAAATTAATAATTCGGCTCCCCGAAATCCTATGTTTAGGGTGTCTCATCAATGTTTTGTTTTCTCCATCCTAGTTGTCTCTTATGATAATCCAAGATCTAAATTATTTACTCCCCTCGGTTCCAGTTCCTGTGACAATTTTTTAGTTCGGTTTAAAAAAACCCGGCAGTTTTATAAGTTCGGAAATATTAACACAAACCTTCTATTTATCCTTAATGACAAACTTTTATCGTGACACGAATGTTATGGCATGTTTAATGCTACAAGCTTTAAAAGTCTCCCTTCTTTGTGCCATTAGTTACCTTAGGAGGGCTAAGGAAGAAACATTAAGGATGTCAAGAAGTTTGCTGAAATAGAAAAACTTTACTCTTGAATATGCAATTGCCTGTTCTTGGAAATGCAGATGACTGTCAACAACTAACTGGAAGTGCTAACTGTACCTTGTAATCAACAGTAGGGATAAAAATGGATGAGATAATCTTTTTCTTTTGACTACCGGGAAATTTGTCTGACCGTCCTTTGGACCAATCACAACCATCTAAACTCGGTGAATAATAGGCCACCCCTCTACCCTTCTCCACTTAAATGCCAGGCTTCGCTTTACATGGTGTGGGGCTTGAACCTGTGACCTAAGCCACAAATCCTCCACCTTTTGCCACTCGAGCTAGGCCTTGGGGGCAAATGTATGAAATCATCTTTGTTACTCATGTTCTGTTTCAATTGGTTAAACCAGGAAGGTCTTGCTGCAGTTTTTGGAAATGGTTTATCAACAGCATGCATTGTCAACATGGGAGCTCAAGTGACATCTGTTATCTGTGTTGAGGTATGGTGGCTTTGTTTCTACATTCTATATGGTTGGAAAGTAACAATTAAGTCCCTTTTTTGTTACAGCTTTGTTTATAGCACCCCAGCATTAGAATGGGACCCAGGATAAGGATTCTAAGTAACTTTGATACTGGCATACTGCAAGCGTTTTTCCTTGTGTGTTGCGGAAGTGGGTGGTTATAACTGGACATGAATCATGATAACGTTCCGAAAGTAATTCATGTTACTGAGGCATCAGTCTTCACAGACTCACAGTAATGGCATCTATCCTCTTTATTTCTTAAATAGATTTTCCGAGCGGCTCTCGCCACCTATTGTGAAAGGCCATGAATCATGATTAGTACATCCAGTACCATCAGTGCTATTGATGCACACCCAAGTACAAGAAAATTTCTCATTACCCATAGTCTCAATTCTAGGTAAAATTATACAAGAAAATTGGGATTCTGAGAGTGCTATTCTATCACTGGCATGATATCTTTCATTGTCATTACTTCACTGTGATTACTGCTTCACCTTGATCTCCCCAATTGCTCTGTCAGTGCCTTGTTATCTATGTAGATGACCTACAGTCTATACATATGTTGTTACTTAAATCTGGAAGTAAAAAAAATTCTGTGATATTCTTATGCTTTTTAACAAGAACATCTGAAAATTGCTATTTGACCTTTATGCTGATCCTCCATGAGTTCATATGCTAATTGTTAATGCTATTGGACAGGATGGAGTGGTTCTACCCACAACACAGATATCTTTACGGTTTGGTGGAGAGGTGAGCATTCAGTAAAACTATGGATTTTAGTTTGCGGAATGAAAAAGTTGAGAAGCTCAATTTTTTTTATGCTTTGCTTATAGCAGGGGTTATTTTCATTTTTATTTCTTGGAGCTTTTTTAAATAGGGTGAGACATATAATAAACTGGGAACTTCTTTAATCGGATGTTTCAATTGAATAGTTTTGCAGTCAATAGGCTGCTTATGCCTTAGATCTATTGCTCGTGAATCCAAACTGATTTCACCTTTGTAATATCCCCAAGTCTATATTCGATAACTTTATTCCAAAGATCTATCATATGATGCAAAGTTCAATATATGATAATTAGCACAAACTTAACTATCCCTTGTTCTTATAATACCGGAACAAACTTTTCTTCTCCTTTTCTTTATAATTTATAAATAATGCAAAGTTCTAGGATTTTTTTGGAAAAACATAGGTTTTCTTTGTCTTCAAGTGTTGATACATAATATAATTAAATAATTAAAAATGTACTCTCACTAATGGCTTAAGCTTTTAGATGAGATGATTACACACTTCAGCATCAAGCTTGAAGCAGTTTATTAAGTTCTCGGCTTCTCCTGTAGTCTTCCCTCAATGATTTTTTAATTGTCTTTCGTCTTTCTTAGCCAACCTGTCTGTTTTTTTAAAAAATTCTAACAGGATATATCAAGATGCCTTCTCTGGACTCAGAGGCATCATCAAACATGGCCACCTATTCGGACTGATGCCCTGTCGAAGCCTGTAGATTTGCTGATGCTTAACAGACTTAAGGAGTCCTACTGTCAGATCAAAGTAAGTTTCCTAATATTCAGGAAAATACAAATTTAAGGTTTTTAACTTTATATGCTAGAAACACGTATAGCCCATTACTGGATATTCCTCGGTTTGGTTATCAATATATGAACCTGGGAATGTATATCCAAAGTGTCCTTGGTATGAATGGAGACAATTAGTGGATGATGTTCAGTTTAATTGTTCGATTTATCACCTTCTATTGTAATCTACCACACTGTTTATATTAACTCTAGTTATATAGGATGCATCCTTACATGAATACCTAAATGCATGTTTAATTTATTCCACTGTCCAGGAGGGGGAAGTAGAAGCTGTTGCTATGGTACATTCATATGAAGATGGAATGCAACCTGGATCTCATAAGACTAGGCTGACTGCTCTTAATGTATACCTCTTAACCTCAAAATCTTCTTGTATTTATTTTGCTTTTTTTGAAGAGGACGTGTGATTAATGCCATTTGTTTAACTTTCACATTCTAACTCTTCGAAGATAAATTCTGCTTATGCCTCGTAACTTTCTGGGGCAACATTTTCAATGCAATATATGACAAGGTTACTGCTTTACAAGGGAGACAACTTGAATTGTCTAATCCAGAAAAGTTATTCTTTGATCATGATTCAATGAAAATCCAAAATTAAATTATGACATGCTTTTGCAATTGAAGCTGAGATATCATGTGAGCAATTGCGACATGATTTGTTGAACATGAGATTCCATGTTAACAGTTGGACAAAAAAATTTACAGTATCAAGTTCCATCTGTATTTCAAAAGAAAGAGGCAGATTTGGTACTTGCTGATAAAGATGAAACCTTGAATTCACAAGGGTTGATATTAGTGCCTGATAGTTTGATAATACAGGTTCCCCCAATGGGTTTATTTTACCCAATGCTTTTGGTTCCAGATGTCTATCCTCCGCCACCTCGCTCTTGGTAAGTCAAGTATATATGATTTCACTAAATCCTTTCTCCTCCTTCTGTGCTCAGTTATTGCATCTAAATAGGTTTAACGATTATGATGATATGCTTGAGGACACATGGCACATGGACTTCCCTGGTGGTGGTGCATATCCGATGTGGGAGAGCTACCCAGTTTTCCAAACAAAGCCAAAGAAAGAAGATATTATTGGACTTGCTGAAGCTATTACAAAGAGCATTCTTTTGACAGGTGATAATAGTAATGTATTCTATAATGTGGTAGAATTTGGATACTCTTTCTGAGCCTTGTTTCATACAATTGACAGGGCGTATTGAGCTACAGAGAAAGTTGTTTTGCAGCATGCAACTGGTTAGTTGTTTGAGGCATTAAACCTATAGTTATTGTCATGTGGTTTGAAGCGTGATATTTTTCAACTCTTCAGATTGGTGGAGCTGCATCGATTTATGGTCTCATTCCTGCTGTGGAGGAAAGGTTTGTTTTGAGTCTAGTTTTGCCGGAATTTAAACAGAAAAAGAAAACAATGGCCCTGTTGCTAAAAGAAGTTGGACATAATTATATATACATATCATCAATGAATATTCCACCCTCTGTTTAGAAATTTTTTAAAGCATAACTAGGTGACTGCATTTGGCATGTTATCAGGTAAGTGCTGATAAGTAGAATGTTCAAAATTTTCCAAGCTATAGAAATGGTTTAGGAGATCACCAGTAGTCTAGTATGCTTTGATGTTTTTTGTTTCTAACAAAATAGTATGCTTTTATCTAACTGCTCACTTTCGTATCCAGAGTTTTACATGCAATCCCTTCACATGAAGCAATTGACACTGTGGAGGTAAGTTTTGAGCTTTTGATTTCTTTCTATTCTAGTTGTTATGTCATTCTTCAATATACATGTGCAGACAATCTCGTGTACCTTATATCTTCTCTTTGCCAGATGCATAATCTGGCGCTTGATTTAATCAAATAAATTTATATCAGTCCTGCCCCCATTATCATCCTAAGGTTTCTATGTGTTTGGCCTTCTCAAATATATCCTTCAGATGCTTAGATTGTTTTCAGCATGCTGAAGACCATAAATGGGGAAAACAAATTGAAAAGGGAAAGGAGAACCCAAAAATAAATATATGAGAGTTCCTTTGTTCCTTAGGAAGATACACGTCTTTTGCTCTCGCTTGTTGATGAGTACAAATTAGTTGATAAGCATCACATACTAATGATGCCTTTTAAGTTTTAAAGTTTATTTTATAAATAAGTAATTGTGTGTTGGAGAGGGCAATATCGGTTAAAGTAGATTCTTCTTTTGTTCCATCAAAACCCCTTCACAAACTGTACAAGCTTCTTCCAAAGTATACGGCTTTCTGGATGTAGATGTTGATATCAAGTACCGAAACAGATAATAAGCAGTTGATATGTTTGGTGAAGAATATTGATAATGACTTTTATCATATAAAATGACTTAAATGCTTTTGAAGTAGTTCACACTAAAAAGGAGTTCCATTATTTTGGCACCTTGAAAAAAAGGAGCTGATTATTGCAAGATTCTTAATTCTAATTGATTCAACTACAAATTAACTTATGTATCAATTACTCTAGATTGGTTTGATAGGATTATTTTTAATAAATGTAAATTATTTTGTGATAAATGCAATAGACCTAAGCACAAAAGAGAGAAGAACAAATGGTGAAAATGGAATGAAGAGGGTGTTAGGCGTTTTCTATGAAAGGGGTATTTGGAAGTTTAAAAGGTATTAGGGATGTTGTCACGATAGAGCAATCTATTTAAGATTTGTGTATGGAATGAATGGATAAAGACAAATTCTTAAGTGTTCTTTTGTTCTGTTTCGGATTCATGTAGGACACCAACTTGCACAAATATGAAGCGTAGTGATTGTTGTTGTTGCCATTTTTTCCCTGTATGTAGATTCCTTCCCCAACTAATCCAACTTGTTGAAATACATATGTAAAATGGACCATGTGTGGGTAAATATTTGGAATGGACTTTGAAAAATCTTTGGCTCAAATAGGTGCAATAGAAACTATTGTGATTGGGTACCCATCCTTTTTTGCAGCCCTTACTGTCCTTGCAGACTTACATCATTTCGTTTTCTTCTCATCTTTTATTCTGTTTTTATTTAGTAAGTTGCTGTATTTACATTTACGTTTGTATGTACATATCTTAGGTCTTGCAATCGAGAACAAATCCAGCATTTGTGTCATGGAAAGGCGGAGCAGTAAGTAGACACTATTTTTATTAGACGTTCTGCTTAGTTTCCGTCACACTATTTTTTAACGGCTATATCCTACATTCTGGTGGTAATATGGCTTTGATACAATTTAGGGCTTTGTATTATAAGTAATTCTAAGGAGGTGGTAAATAATCAGGCAAGGTAGCTCTCACACCACAATTATAAAAGGAATAAAAGGAGTTGATAAATAATAACTATCTATTATAGCATTAGCTGAAGTGTGTTTCTGTCACTAATGAAATAAATGGCACTGACGAGTCTGAACAGCGTAATGGGGCTGCTAATCGCATCAACTGACCTGTAAGACTCCACTACAGTGCTTAATGAACAGTTGATGCTACAGAGTATTGTTGCACTGAACCTATTTTGGTGCATAATTTATGAATAACATCTCAATTAAAGATCAGGAGCCTTAAGAGGGACAATCATTGTATTGTGTCGTGCTTTTTGTTTAATAATCTTAGTTTTTGTAGAATCCTAAGTGGTACACTTTTACAGTTGGTAGAATTCTTCTATTCGAATATCCACCAGCTCAATTTGAGATTGCTATATCCAGGATGCTAAATGTACTTATCTTGTTGAGACAATATTCTTTTAATGATGCATAAGGTGATACCTGTTCAACCATATCTTGTACCATGCTTCACTTTTAAGTTTGTATGAGACTCTATAGAGTTAGTATCACTTCTATGCACTGCAGATCCTCGGAATTCTTGATATTAGTAGGGAGGCCTGGATTCATCGTGAGGACTGGATTAAAAATGGAATTCACATTGGCAGTGGGAGAAAGTACAAGGATTCATGTTATCTTCAAGCTCAGGCAATGTGCTACCTGAATTCATAAGAGGTACAAATAAATGTTGCTCTAATTTATCTATATTCATTTTCAACTCAGGTTTTATACGTTTGATTTTATTTTTGCTTCAGATAAGTGGGAAGGGTAAGGGATGAGTTGGGGGATTAATCTAACTGACGAGGGAATTGAACGGTTACGATTATTATCTTTCCTTTTCGTCCTGTCAAGACATAATTCTCGTCCTTGCGTTCTGATTTCTTGTTATTGTTATAGTGCTGGTCCATAGGTCGTGCAACACTATTGCTATTAACATTTCTCTTTCAACTCCTTTGTTGTTCAGCTTTCTGCAGGGTTATGAGATTTGATAAAGATCGAAACTGGAGCTTGCTAGCTTATCTTGAAGACGAAAGAACTGTAAGCCTCCCTCCTCTCTCTGGACTCATATGGTAGCCTTTGTGAACAACGATTCGATAATCCTGAAACCTGAAAAATTATTCAAGAATTATCACTGAGCAAGGCCAATCTGGAGTACATCCTAATTTCTAGGAAACTTAAGTCACAGTATAGAGTTATACTAATCTTGGTATTCAAACTTATTTAAGACGATTTCATTCTCAAGATTGTGGAATTTTCATAGGGTTGATTTGCTAGCTGACCCTCTATGTGAATAATTAACTTGGGAGTAATTTAATTAGTCAAATAAATATGATAATCGTGTTATATTCAAAAATATTAAACCATGCAGGAAAAGCCAAGTAGTCATCAAAATTCGGCGCATTAGTCAAAAGCTAAACAATTCGATGACCTTTTCGTTGGATTAATTTAAATATGACTTGGTATAACCATTCTCACTGAAATGGTCGGAAGCTTGTTAACTTTTTCATATACAATATATTACTATTATTTTTTGTTTCACACTGATCATATTCGTGAGAATAGCTAGTGAATATTTATATTTTTCCGGGGAAATTTTAGAGGGAAAATAGCGATTCTTTTCAATAGTGTAGATACTCATCAAAGCTTCCTATTATTTCCGTAGGAAGATGCTATTATTTTCCTCTCTCATTCAATTAAAATATCGATAGGAATAACTATTAAACATTTTTTAGTAGTAAATTTCAATGGAAAACTAGTGACTTTTAAATAGTGAAAGTGGTATGTGAGGGTTAAAATGGTCATTTGAGAAACGATTACTAATTTCTATTTCATGTACTACACACTTCTCTAATACTTTTGATAATTTCTTCATTACTTAAAAAAAATTATGGATTAATGTTTTCAAAACATTAGTTGGTGCACCAAAAACAAAATGGTAACAAATTAATCAAGAATCAATAAAATTCTACTTCTCTTTAATTTAATTATTATGGAAGACAGCTTGTCAATTATAGATTAAATTGTGATATTTTATTTAGTAAAGTGTTAAAGACTCTGTTGTTATGTGATTAAGAGGTTATGGATTCAAATCACGAAACAACTTGCAGTAAAAATTAGGATAGATTACGTAAGCTTGTCCATTGAAGATTAAATTGTGATATTTCATTTAGTAGAGTGTTAAGGAAGCTCTTGAGTCACTGGTTAAGTTATTGTTATGTGATTAGAAGGTTATGAATTCAAATGAAACAACTTCCATTAGAAATTAGAGTAAGATTATGTGCAATAAATTCTTAAGTTCGTTCTTTTTTTTTTTGCCCTATTTGGTTGATTAATTTGAATTGCTTATTACATAAATTAAGAAAGGAAAAAGATAAAAGTAGAAGAAAATATGCTATAAAGATTAAAGGGTGTGGATAAATTATTTTAGTATAGTCAAAAATGTTCTTCAATATCTTGTAAAGTTATAAAAACTAGTGTTAGGGGTTAATTGATTCCTACTTTTGTCTATGCTTTTGGATTGGGTCTTTGCTTGAGTCCATTCATTTCTGTATATTCTTTTTTCTTTTCTTTTTTTTTGTGTCAAAGGTGGTTTAAATATGACCCACCATGGACACTTTGACTAGGGCACATAAAGAATATTTAGAAATTATGTTTGTTCTTAACTGATGTACTAATTAAGTGATCTTTTTGTTCCTAGATAAGGTTGAATATCTTCGAGATTAAATTTATATTTTGTTTGATTAAAGATTTCTTATCGAAAACAGTGATACCCTGCTAACATCTTCTTTTTATTTTAATTTCTTAATTCTCCATCTTTCTTCAGCTTAACACCGATATTAAGCCCCCTCTTTTTTGTTCTTAGTTGCTTGTGAAATAAATTAGTTCAACGGTCGTAATTTCATTCGAAATAACTTAGAGCCTGTTTGGCTCAGCTTAAAAGCTGGTCAAACTGACTTAAAAGCTGGTTTTTGACTTATTTAACTGTTTGGCAATACTCAAAATAACTTATTTTAAGTTAAAAAAAATTATTTTAAGCCAAAAGTTAAAAGCTTGGGTAGGGATGTTTTTTTTTAGCTTATAAGCTGATTTAAGTTGACCATATTTTTATCTTTTTGCCCTTAATATTTTTATACAATGTCCAAATTACCCATATAACCCTAACATCTCTTTCTTCCATTTTTTCCTTTTCACGTTTGGCATAACAACTTCAGCACTTTTATTCAAACGCATAACTGCTTATTTTAAAATTAAGTTTCAATACTTTTAAAAATACTTTTTTAAAGCTGCTTTTATTAAGCCCATCCAAACAGGCCCTTAGTCAGCTGAACAAAGATTCTTTGGTTGCATAAGATAATATTTGGGAAAAAGATCACATTAATGGTATACCATATTTTGGGTACCTTTTCATATAGGAAAGCATAAAATTTAGCACTCTATTGTCTTCCTACAAAATATTTGTATAAAGTTAGGTTATTAGAATTATAAGTATGAAATAAAAATAAAAGGATTGGTAAATACAGATTTAAAACATTTAGTTTGGATTATTATTTCTTTTTCTGCCTGCATACAAAATATTTGTATAAAATAGGTAAAAATTTATTTCATGATATATAGTAGGAAATAAGAATAAAAGAAGTACTTAGTAAACACGTATTAAAATATCAACATTAATTATATCGTATCCCATGATATATAGTATGAATTAAGAATAAATGAATTAGTAAACACAGATTAAAAGATCAAAATCAACATGAAGATGGTTAGTACAAGTCTTATCCCGACCTTATGGTAGTGTATATTGAGAGGTTTTTTTTTATATATAAATTCCTGGCTCAAATAAAACATAATAAAATAAGAAAGGAAAAAAAATACTTCAGGGAAAAAATTAAATAGCACCAACAAATCCCTAATCCATATAAAATAAAAAAAAATAAGAAGGAAAAGAGAATATTTCAGAAAAAAAAAATTAAATAGCGCCAACAAGAACGAGATGGATATTGCCTATATGAAGGATAAACTAAGAAAAATGAAGTTGAATTTGACATAATTCACACGTGTGACGAGGACATAATTAAATGATTCATTTAGAGATGTGAGATGTTGAGTTTGGTGGGTCTGATGAGAGGTAGAGAAAGACCAAATATATATCAAGATAAAATGATTAGACATAACTTAAAACACATGTAACACAGACTCTAAATGAAAAAATATAGAGATTTCGGGATCAAGAGCAGGTTAATGATTGTGCTATAGAGTGTCACTCATAAATGGTAGTATTAATATTTTTTTGATTTTTAATTAAAGTCTATTACTTACTCTGTTTCAAAAACGATGACCTAATTTGACTAGGAATAGAGTTTAAGAAAAGAAAAAGATTTTTTAATATCTTCATAATTTCTTATCTTTTTTCGACTAGCTAATATACCAAGTGATTCAGTTCAAATCCTCATTTTCAGTGAGAGTTCTTAATTGATCGATACTCTGAATATACATTTATATCATTGTTCCCATATTGCTTTACAATATAATCTTTATTAGTATTAATTGTCTCTAAATCAAACAATCTCTAAAACATAATTTATATTCTCAATCTTTTTATTTACGAACTTACAGAAACTCATAACTTAAAACTATATATTCGAAAATATTCAAATTAATTTAAAATAATTATAAAAAACACATTATGTCAAATTATCTCGACACCATTTATTGTAATATTCCATTCTATTTATAATTAAAAACTTAAAAGTCTTATTCATCCTACCGTACTCGTGGGCGATACCATCGAAAAGGAACGTTAAAACGATCCAAAGTTTGAAATGCGTGACAGCACAATCAGACAATGAAGATAACTCGATAACTCCGACCCAAACGTGCATTGTCCTTTTTAAGGATTAAATATAGCCACGTAGGTGTAATCATAGCCGTTGATTGTTTCATCATTTGTCAGAAAATATACGATGATGATATAGTTTCACGTGCGGGTAATAACCCATTACTTAACGGCTGGATAAAAAGAACACTTTATAATAATTGATTTACTGTAATATAATATTTGTGTTCGATAAATCACGTAGAAAAAGTGAATCGTATTACAAGCTTCATGTTATGAGGTTATGAGGTTATAACTGAGTAGTCAATGACAGTTGGGTTCTATTCAAAGTTTCTTGCCCACTTTTTTTATCGTAATTAAAATTAAGTGCTTATAGTTTTAAATATTAGAATACAAGAGAAAGGTATTCGAACCCATAATAAATGTGTGAAATATTTTCACCACTCTTTCTTATCGTTGAACTATCAATCATTCTGTTAGGAGGTTTAACGGGACAGCTAGTGAATTCGTTTGAACCGTCGGATCCACACCTAGATCCGCCTATGCTCTCAGCTACTCAGCGGGTAACTTTTAATAATAATTAATATGTATATCTTTTCGATATTAATTTATTGTCATTGAATTTAGTGCCACTATAAATTTTCAAGACAATTACAAAGAGGGATATTGTTATTAAAAAGTATATTTAATGTTAATTAAATTATTATTATTAACTAATTACAATTAAATTGTATTTTTAGTTTTAACTTGTAAAAGTGTTTTCACATATTTTATGGACAAATTGGTATAGAATTTGCCTAGAATAGAAAGAGTGACGTTAGGTTGAAGGATCCAGTCAGCTATGAAACGCTTTTGACCAAGTGATGAGCTTTTTTTCTTCTTTTTTATAATATACTATAAAGTATATACTATAAAAATATCAGTCTTTTTGCTTAAGCTGCTTAGACATGAGCTCGGCTCAGAATGTGAATGATTAATTTCGTGTCTTAATTTATGTGATATATTTTAATCAAATATTAAATTTATGAAATATAAGAGAACATTTTGTAATACTTCAAAAGGTACATCTTAATATATTTGAATTAAGATATTTATAAATTAAAACTTATATATTTAAATTGTAACCCTTTATTTATTCAAACATTAAAATAAAATGTATCATATCATTTTAATATTTGATTTTTTCAAAATTTTACGTGAACGTCAAATATTTTATTCACCAAACTGTCCATTATAATTTATATCTATCTATTCATGTTCTCAATTTATATCATCTATTCATGTGCTCGTGGTATCAACAAACTCCTTTTTCCTATTATGCTAATTATCTTTTTTGGTACACAATTTCCTGCTATCCTATTATAATAGTATATAATGACAAAGTATCCTTTTAATACGTAACTTATCCTCAAGTAATCAACTTTTTAAGGCAATATATATTTGACATTTTCCTATAAAAAATGAAAAGACAATCCAATGAAAAATTAAGTAATAAGTCAAATTTTATCATAACAATTAAACTTAGTTTTATAAAATATGGAATTTTAATGTTCAAATTATAAAGATAATATTAGTTTTAACAATTAACTTAGTTTTATGAAATATAAAATTTTAATGATTAAATTATGAAGATAATATTAGTTTTGTCTCCAAATTGTTGTCAGTCTTAAAAACATTGTATACTTAATTAATTAAATTTAGATATATATGCTTGATCTACAATATAATATAACAAGTAATTTCAAACTCTTATAGGAGTACAAGACTCTTAAATGTAGTTGCAAGAAGTGATTAAAAAAAACACTCTAGAAATGACGAGAATTTAGGAGTGTACTTCACTCATATTGCAAGATTCGGAGGGAGGGTATTAAGTTCAATTAGTCAAATTAAGAGGCGTTTTTAAGACGACTTAACAGTTTGGAATGAAATTATATTTTTATCAAATCTAAGTGTGTTTTCGATATTTCTCTCTAGTTCAATTTGCATGTTTAATAAAACTTTAATTTAGAGACAAACATAATTTATAATTATGGTCTTAAAATTTTATATTTATTCAAATATTTTCACATAAATTGAAACGGACAAGACTCGGAGATTAATTACTCACAGTAATCCAGCTCAAAGCCAAGCTGTGCAACATAAATATTCTGGCTCTTTCTTTGACCTTTGACTGAAAATCTGCCACGTGTCCTCCACATGACCCCCTATATAAACCCCCAAATCTCTTCTTCTTCATCGCATTCACATTTCCCCTCTTTCGAGCCCTAATTTCTCTCTCCCAAATACAAATCTCCGATCCAATCATGTCAATTAACCACCGGACTTCCACCGGAGACCGTCGGAATCCTAGTCGTTTACAGCGTCGAGCACCGGCATCGATTCAAATCAACCGACCGACCGATTGGAATGTGGCTATACCTCTTTTATCACCGTTGATTACTTCTCCGGTTTCTCCTGATGCCGGAAATCTGAAATCGGTGATTAATCGTCTCTCTAATTCTAATTCTAATTCTAATTCGAGTAATAGTAAGAAAGAGGAAGTGAAGAAAGAGCTACCGGTGTTTAAGAAGTGGCAACATCCAGCGGCGCCGTTTTATCATGAACCGGCGCCGTTGATTCAGTTTTTGTGTACAGGAACCGCCGATAGACGGTGAAATTTATCATAGATCTAAAAAAAATCTGAATCTCTTAATTTCAAAAGTATAGATAGATATCTGATTGAAGCTTTTGATACAAATTGTTGATAGGTCTTTTTCTATTAGGATGCAGAAGTTGTATAATTAGATTATTAACAAAGTTATGAAAACTGATTAAGGAAAAAATTATCTCTCTTTATTTTTTTTGTTTCCATTAATTACTTTGATGAGATGATCATGTGAAAGTGTAAATCACAGCTCACTTTTTGTTTTTTTGCTTTAGAACAAATTAAATGACAATGTTTGTTT